TTATTAAAATATTTTTAAAGTAAGTTTGAAATAGATTAGCCGCTGAGTCCAATCTCTGAAGCAATGCTGAGCAAGACCCAGGAGTTTATACTGACTGCACAGTATGAGAATGGCTCATTTGCAATCTGTGGCTACAATAACGCAATTTGCATGTACAGATTTTCCTGAATTAAGAAATGCACTATGCCCCAGAAATAATTTCCCATAAGACAAATTTATAAAGTATTTAAGAATCAGTATGACCCACACCCTGCTGTGTCAGTTATCAACACAGTGCTCTTTCCTCCAAACCTACCTTTCTCTGCTCTGCTTTGTGTTACAGGAGCTGGACTGGCAAACGGTCCTCCGCTGCCAGTTGGCACACTATTGAGCTTTAACAGTAAAGGGCTGTGAAGGAACACTGAAGTCTGAGTGGTTTCTTTTCCTGGTCTGGTGAGCATTTTCCTGCTGGTTCCTATGGCATGCACCTACTAGGGGTGTGTGGAATACCCCAAAGTGCTCGCCATTTAGTGAGTCTCAGTGGTATCCCAAACACTGGCTACCTGTGATGATTCACTGGTACCCTAGTGAGTGGATTCCCAGCAAGTCTTGCCAGAGCTCCAGTAGGCAGTTTCCTGCTCACCAGCCCTGGTCCGTGGCACCTTGGTGAACTTCTGTGCCACCCACTGGACACAGCAGCACCTCTCCAACAAGGACTCCTAGTTTTTTGGGGGAAGTGGCTTTTTCCAAGTTTTCTCCTTTCCTAGGTATCCTGCCTGAGTCCTAGAGATACTAGCAGAGCCTTTATTTACTATGCTTATATTCTTTAGAATTCTCTCTACTTCTTAGTAGTTAATCCTGTTACTACTTAACAACTCCTTGTATTAAATTTCCATTTGTGTTACTGGTGTTTCTGACTCCTGATTGGACCTTAACTAATTCACACCCCAATCAAATCAAACCAAACCAAATCAAATCAACCCAAGCCAACAATTAAATCTGTAACACCACCCTTGAAACATAAGACTTATTGTTGTCTTATGTTTCATAACAAAATTATTGTTAATTTTGATAATACAGAGAAACACCACAGCATTTAGCCCAACTTAACTATTTGCATTAAAAACTCCCATAAAACTAAAAACAACAACAACAACAACAACAGTGTGATGGCTTTGTAATGTGTAAATAAAGCTAAGCCAAAACAGTATTTCCCAGAATTCTCTTCTCTCTATGGTTCTAGGTTAGTGCTATCCATAAGGGAAATCTGTCCAAGATCTGGAAGGCAAAACTGAAGGAGCAGCCGTTACACTCTGCAGGTAGTACAGGATGCTGGGCGCCGCTGTAGCCATACACTTTGTCACCGATCTGCTGGTACCTCTTGATACGGAGAAGGAACTGAGCTCATAATTCCTCCAGTTCTGCTGGATCTCTTCCTTTGGCTTCTCCTAGTCCAGGGCCAGGTGCACGCGTAGCTCCATGTTTCTTTTCAGTGTCACATCCAGCTTGTCTTCCTGACTGCTGCCGTGATGACCTCTGGGGACTTCAGGGACAGACCCTAACTCAGGCTTCCACAAACTTTTCCCACAGCTTCCATAACAGTTGGTCCCCATAATAAATTCCTTACTTCATATCACTTGTGGTGTTTCTGCTATCTGGGTCCAACCGTAAATGTACATTGTAACATGGTTCAATGATTCAGCTTAAAAAGAATCGTAAGTGACTTGGGTCACTTGATCAATAGAGTTGCTACTGTCAATTTTTCCCATGTTTCTTCTTCTTTATTTCTATACAATATCTAAGTTTTAAAATATGTTTGATGTTGAAGTGGGAAGTTTTCTTTAACAAGTGTCCATGTGAGCACTCTTAGATGCTGTGACGCTAATTAGATACGGGATGAAGTGTTCTAGCTACTCTGAGATACAGAGACAAGACCCCTGGGTAGCTTAGGATCCAGGAGAGTCTGGCCTATTTTTCTAACAGTGCTAGCTGTTAGAAAAATGTTAGCATGTTCTCCATGCTAGCTGAAGAATGAGACAGAGAACTAAAAGTCCCAAGAAGACTAGAATATATACATTAAAGGAAATCTAGAGGGCCTGGGGCTGGGTTTAAGCTGGGAGGGAAGATGAAAAGACGATGTCAAAACTTCAGTGATGTCATTAGTTCTAAACCCAAAATTCATTTGTTTGACATTTTTGTGATTTAGCCTTGTTTCCTGATCATGCTCAGTGTGACTTGCCAGTTCTCAGAAGTGTGAATCTCTTAATAAATTCCACTTCTATTGCTAGCACCTAAGGGCAATATCATTTCACGGCTGGGACTCTACCTGAGGCACTTCGTCTTAAGCCAGAGTCCTTCCACACGGCCTCTTGAAGTCCTAAAGCTGGCTGTGTGTGGCTCGATAGTGAGTCGGCCTGGCCGCCACGGGTTTACTGTTTCTAGCGCACATTTCAGAAGGGATGTATTACATGTGCTATTCAGAGTGCAGCTATTTAAATTATTAGAAATCCTTCATAGGAAAAGAGAGAATAATCAGAATTTGCTCAATTTGCTTGCCATAAAAATAATTTCTTAATGAAGAGCCATGAATAGGAGAAATGTAATAAATGTAAATAACAGAATTATGAGTCACTGAACATTCCAGAAAATCCTCAGAAAATTAAGAGAAATTGCCAATGAAGTTTAATTTCTGACCCATTAATTTATTTTGTCTATTTGTTTATTCATTCAATAAGTATTTACTGATTGACATTAGAAGATCATAATGAGTAAGATAGACAATATCCCAACCTTATGGAATTTATTTTCTGTGGTGGGGGAAACACTCAAATGTAAACAAATTAACACATAATTTCAGTTGTTATAAAGTGCTATAAAAAATGAAGCAGGGGGCCAAGATGGAGGCATAGGTAGACACACTGTGCCTCCTTGCACAACCAAAATTAAGGATGACAAAAATTTAGAAATAAAAAAGCACCAAGAACTGATAGAAAACTGAACTGTACAGAAGTCCAACAATCATTCAACCAGACTGGTAAGAGGGGCGGAGTTGGTGGCCAGAGGAGAGGGGTCGCAGCAGGAAAAAGCGGTAGCTTGAGGACCCCGGCATGTAGGCGGCAGTTAGCAGATCCCAGGTGTAGGGTGGCAATGAGCAGACCCAGTGAGGTGCACAGGGCGGCTGGCTGACCATGATCACACATTTGTGCACATATAAACCAGGAGAAAATGAGCAACAAGACAGGCCATGCAACCCAGGGCCCCAGCCCTGGGAAATAAAGCCTAAAAGCGCTGGTTGGGGACACTTGTGGGGGTTGAGGTGCCAGGAGAGACTCCTAGCCTCACAAGAGAGTTCGTTGGAGAGACCCACAGGTCCTAGAACATACTCAGGCCCACCCACAAGGGGGACCAGCACCAGAAGGGCCTAGTTTGCTTGTGGGAAGTGGCAGAAGGGACTGAAATCCAAGAGAGAGCGCAGCAAGCCCACTGTTCCCTCTCTGACCCTGCCCCTACATACAGTGTCACAACCCAGTGACTGGGTTGCCCTGCCCTGGTGAACACCTAAGGCTCCACCCCTCACTATGTAACAGGTGCAACCTGACCAAAAAAAAAAAGGCCCAAATGGAAGAACATATCGAAGCCCCAAAGCCAATACTTTAAGCAACCAAGAAATAGCCAACCTATCAGATGCACAGTTCAAAGCACTGGTGATCAGGATGCTCACAGAACTGCTTGATTTTGGTTGCAAATCAGATGAAAAAACGAAGGCTGCACTAAGGGAAATGAAAGAAAATGCACAGGGAACCAGCAGTGATGGGGAGAAAACTGGGACTCAAATCAAGGGAGTGGACCAGAAGGAAGAAAATAATGGCTAAACAGGAAAATATAAAGAAACAAGAATTCAAAAAAAAGGAGGAGAGGCTTAGGAACCTCCAGGACATCTTTAAATGCTCCAACATCCAAATTATAGGGGTACCAGAAGGGGAAGAGGAACAGCCACAAGTGGAAAACTTATTTGAACAAATAATAAACGAGAACTTCCCCAATCTGGCAAAGGCAATAGACTTCTAGGAAATCCAGGAAGCTCAGAGAGTCCCAAAGAAGTTGGACCCAAGAAGAAACATACCAAGGCACATCATAATCACATTAGCCAAGAATGAAGGAGAGAATCCTAGAAGCAGCAAGAGATAAGGAGACAGTCACCTACAAAGGAGCTCCCATCAGACTGTCAGTGGATTTCTCAAAAGAGACCTTACAGGCAAGAAGGGGCTGGAAAGAAGTATTCCAAGTCATGAAAGGCAAGCACCTACATCCAAGATTATTCTATCCAACAAAGCTTTCATTTAGAATGGAAGATAAAGCGCTTCTCAGATAAGGTCAAGTTCAAGGGGTTCATCATCACCAAGCCCCTATTATATGAAATGTTAAAGGGACTTATCTAAGAAAAAGAAGATAAAAAATATGAACAGTGAAAAGACAGCAAACTCACAGTTATTAACAACCACATCTAAAACAAAAGCAAACTAAGCAGACAGCTAGATCAAGAATGGAGCCACAGAAATGGAGATCACATGGAGGGTTAGCAACAAGGGAGTGGGAGGAGAGAGGGGGAAAAGGTAAAGAGAATAAGTAACATAAATGGTAGGTAGAAAATAGACAGGGGGAGGGCAAGAATAGTAGGGGAAATATAGAATCTAAAGAACTTGAGGCACGTGGTCATAAACTAAAGGGGGGACGGTGGGGGAGGGGTGTGCAGGGTGAAGGGGAATGAAGGGGGGAATAGAACAACTGTAATGGCATAATCAATAAAATATATTGAAAAAATGAAGCAGGAATAAAATGGGTGGTTTTATTTCAGGACATGACTTAGTATTATAGACTAAGTTTTCTTCACAAAGTATACAATAAGTGTTATAATAAATATAAGTACAGATATGTCATAGATATACTAAAGGACAGGATTCATGTACTGAATACATTTATATAAATCATAATAGGCTTATACATAGGTCAATGAAACTTACCCTATAGAAAGCACTGGTCAAAGGGAGTAATGCTGCAGCAATATTATATTCTTCTAAACTTGAACAATCCTTATACAAAACAAAGAGAAATAAATATTAGGATATTTACTAAAAATCACAAATATGTGGAAACAAAAACATGGGATATATTGTTGACTGTCCTGTGGGGTTCTCACTTTTGTTACAAATTATTACTAAGAAGCACTAAGGTAAGTCCAAGATTTTATATATATATATGTATATGTATGTATATGTATATGTATGTATATATGTATATGTGTGTGTGTGTATATATATATCCATCCATCCATATCCCGTCTGTCTAGAAAGAGTCCAACCATTGTTGATATAATGAGAACAGTTTGTGCAACATTGATGTAACCTGGCAGCCAAGGAGAGTGGACTAGAATGAGCATGGGTGAACAATGACAACCTCATGGTACTAGTCTGTGGGAGTGGTAGATACCGTTGAGTGAGCATGTGTACTGTGTGGCTGTTGCATTCAAAATGACAGAGCAAGTAGGGCAAAGAATCTGCATCAAATTTTGCATTATGTTTGAACACTCCTCCACAGAAACTATTTGGATCATTCAGAGGTTGTAGCTATAGGCAAATGGTGATTGGCAGCTTCATCATGACGACAATGTGCCTACTCATGCATCGTGTCTGGTGTAGTTTTTTTTGTGGAACACCAAATCACCCAGGTGACTCAGCCCTACTTATAGCCCAGATTTGCTGCCCTGAAACTCCTGGATTTCCCCCAAACTAAAATCACCTTTGAGAGGGAAAAGATTTCAGACCATCAGTGAGATTCAGGACAATATGTCCGGGCAGATGATGGCTACTGGGAAAACTCTATGAAGTCCCAAGATGCCTACTTTGAAGGGGACTGAGGCATCCTTGTCTTATGTGCAATATTTCTTGTGTATTATATCTTCTTCAACAAATGTCTCTATTTTTCATATTACGTGGCTGGTTACCTTCTGGACAGACCTCATATATATGTCCTAAAAGCTAAATGCTCATGATGAACAGCTACTTATACCCATTTCCTGCACAAAAATTGTAATACAGTGTGTAATTTACACAAAAAAATCTGTAGGGAGTTTTTAGCACATTTAACTGCTACATTCCACTGAATCTAAGACACATTCCCCCCCATCCCCCGACATTTCAACTTCTCTGAGACTGGAATGCATCTTATAACTACTTGAAAATATTTTTTCTCTCTTGATGTTGCATACAAAGGGTATTTTGTTATTGACCAGGCAAGAAATATAATTGATGCTAAATCCCATTGGGGATTTGTTGTTGGAATAGTCAGAAAATCTTAGTGGTAACGTAAAGTAGTGCAGTTGCTAAGGAAAAGAGTATGGCAATTTCTCAAAATTGAAAAATTGAATTAACCGTATGATCCGGCAATTCTACTCTGGGTATGTACCCAAAACAACAGTGACTTGAACAGATGTTTGTACATTTCACATTCACAGCAGCATCATGTAGAATATCTAAAACGCAAAAGCAACCCCACAGATGAACTGACAAAGCATGTGTGTGCATGTGTACACGTACACACATGCACACAGGAGTGTCATTCAGCTTGAAAAAGGCAGGGAATTCTGACACATGCTACAATGTGGATGGGCCTTGAGGACATTATGACAAGTGGAATAAGCCACACTGTAAGATCCAGATTTAAAAGCTTCTGCACAGCAAAGAAAACCATCAACAAAATGAAAAGGCAACCTACTAAATGGGAGAAAATATTTGCAAACCACCTGTCCAGTAAGAGATTAATATCCAAAATATTCAAGGAACTCATACATCTCAGTAAACCCCGCCCCCAAATAACCCAATTAAAACAATGAGCCGAGGAACTGAACATTTCTTTTTAATTCTTACCCGAAGATTTTATATATATATATATATATATACATATATATATATATGTATATATATATATATTTAATTTTAAAGTGGGAGAGAGAAAGAGAGAAAGAAACATTGATGAGTTGCTTCCTGTATGCCCCCCAACCAGAGATTGAACCTGCAATCTAGGTATGTGTCCCGACTGGGGATCGAACCCACAACCTCCTCAGGTACAGGACAACACCCCAACCAAGTGAGTCACCCCACCAGGACTGAATAGACATTTTTCCAAGGAAGACACACAAATGGCCAACAGGGACCTTGAAAGGTAGTCAACATCATTAATCATCAGGGAAACGAAAAAACAAAACCAAAAAAACACAAAACCCATCATATCACCTCACATCTGTTAGAAATGCTTAAATTAGAAGTGCTAATAAGGCAGTGGAGAAAGGGGAAGCCTTACACGCTGTTGGCGATCATGTAAACTGGAAAACAGTGTGGAGCTTCCTCAAAAAACTAAAAGACAAAACCACTTCCTAATCCAGTAACCCCACTTCTGGGTATAGATCCAAAAATAAAATTATCTTAAAGAGATGATTTGCACTCCCCTGTTCATTGAAGCATTATTTACAATTGCCAAGGTATGGAAACAAAGTAGTGACCCATGAAGGAATCATAAAGAAAATGTGACTTACTGGTATATAATAGTGAAATATTATTCAACCTTACAACGGAAGGAAACCCTGCCATTTGCACACCATGCATGAACCTGGCGAGCATTACGAAAGTGAAACAAGCCAGATAGAGAAAGACAAATACCTCATAAAAATAAAAAAGCTGAACTCAGAAACAGTACAATGGTAGTCACCAGGGGCTGGGGCATGAGGAAACTGGGGAAATGTTGGTAAAAAGGAACAAACTTTGAATGTTTAGATGAATAAGAAGAGGATCTAACACATAACATGGTGATTATAGTTGATAATACTGTATTGAAATTTGCTAAGAAATTTCAGCAGTTAAGTATTCCTATCAAAAAAGGGTCCATATGTGAATATGTGAGGTGATGGGTATGTTCCTTAACTTGAGTATTCTTTCACAACATATACTATATCTACTCATCATGTCATATACTTTAAATGTGTAGTATTATAATTTTATTGGTCAAGCATACCTCTCTGGATAAAACTGAAAATTAATACACAGTCAGGCCATGCAGAAAAACATTATTATCTTTTTTCTACATGGCATCACTGTACATTCTCTGTCATCTCCATGGATTTTATAAAATAATCCCAGAACACGGCAAAAGTGTGAATCATCTTTTTCTTCCTGACTTATTCCTCACCCCTTTGCTTAGGACATTGCTATGCACAAGAATGTCATCCCCTGTGTCCCGGCACATCTGAGTTTCTTTAACAGAAATGCCTTGCATGTTTCTGAAGAATGTCATGAGGCCCAAGGCAATAAAGTTCAACAGACTTGAGCTGTAATCTTCTCCTAAGGAAATGGCTGGGATGCCAAGATGCCTTTGGACTTTGATTTCACAGCAGGGCTTCATTTGTAATAATTCTGTCCAAACTTTAAATGACAACAGCTGTGATACGAAGTCCAACACACTCATTTATAAAAATTTCCCACAAATTAAAAAAAATTAAACAATGGGGAATTTCAATCCATGACCAATTAGCAGGAAACAGGCAATCCTAAAACATTTAAGAGCTATTTATTATCTTACAAAATGTTTACACATTTTAGTGCATGTCTCAAACCTGAGCGCCAGTCAAATGCTGATTGCAAAATATAAATATAAAATTCTTTGCAAATCACATTACAGTCATTCTAAGTTAATTAGGTTGAAAAATGGAAAAAATTTTAAAACAATGAGTCCACAGCGATGGACACAGCAATAGCATTCCCGAGGAGTGCAGTTATCTACTGGGGAATCAGTCCATAAATACACATCCTGAAGTCCCCGGTGCTTCTGCCACATAATAGCGGTGTAGTTACAGACATACCAAGCAATTTATAAACTTGCAAGAACTTGAATACTAGACATGTTTTATTCTGAACTTTGCTATGCAGTTTTCCTTTAATTTTCCTGCTACAATTAAGAGTGAGCCCTGCAATCTTAATTTCCCATTACCTTCAATTACCTCGTACTTTCGATCTGCATACCTTTGAACTGTCATGGCCAGCTTTCATGTTTCATAAAGCTTTGGAATCTCTCAAAAATGATATATTTAAACATTAAAGAAAAAAAAGACCGGAAGGCACAACTATCTTTTGCACAAATGTCACTGACTTTTTTTTTAGTTTAGTAGATGTAGCTCAGGAAAAAAAATGGAATTGTCCAAATATTGATATTTGCATCTTCTACATAGAAACAAAACTTAAAACTACCAAAGCCAAAAATACCTCTTTATATCACAGTACTCTGCTGCTCAAAACGTCAGCTTTGACCTGACCATTACAGGACAGCACCCAAACTCTCCTTCTTAGCTTGCAAACCCTCCACGGTGTAGACCCAACTCCATACCCAACCGACCTTCTGATCCCTCTTTGCTACAAGCTTTATATATAATTCCATTGCACATCATAGTTATTCCTACCACATCCACTAACCCTAGGAACACTATGTGTTGCTTTGTATTTATATTCCCCTCCTTGTCACCTCCAATACATTATCCCTTATAGTTCTCTACCCTTTCCAAGTATAGTGCTCAACACAAAATAAACAAAAGGACTCTTACTACAGTTTTAGCCTCGGGTCATGTTTTAATGCTAAATAAACTTATATGTCCATAGAGAATGGATCAGAATTTTGAATACTATGGTATTTAACATGTACCACCATTCCCATTGGGATAAAAGGTGAATACCAGGTTTGACAGATTAAGCTTAAATATTAAGCTTAATACTAAGCTTCAAGGTTTTTTTTTTTTAAAGATTTTATTTATTTATCTTTAGAGGGGAAGGGAAGGAGAGAGAGGGAGAGAAACATCAATGTGTGGTTGCCTTTTGTGCATCCCCTGCTGGGAATTGGCCTGCAGGGAACCGGCCTGCAACCCAGGTATATGTGCCCTGACTGGGAATCGAACCGCGATTGTCTGGTTCACAGGCCAGCACTCAATCCACTGAGCTACAACAGCCAGGGCAGCTTCAAGTTTTTGAGAGACTGGCCCCAGGCTACTTCAATT